CAGGGTTGGATATTGCGGATTTGGAGACAGCAATACAGGACCGGGATTTTCAATGGAGTTCCGAGAAACCATAGAGAGATCTAAGGATGATAGTGATGATGAAGAGATATGAAGCAATAAAAGAGAGAAAGATAGAGAGAGAGAGCAAGAGAAAGAAAGAAATATAAAGCAATAAATGAGGGAGTGAGAAGGTAAAAGATATGAATTTGCCGGTCACTACCACCAAGCGAACAGGAAATTCGTCCCATCCTTAATACTATGGCATCCTTCTGGAAGTGTCTTCTCACGAAAATTGACTTCCCTAGACAGCATAGCTCAGGATTCAGGTTTGGACATTGGGGATCTGCGGACAATTCAGGACCGATGAAAAGAGATTGTCAGTGGAGTTTCGACCAACCATAGGGAGGTCGAAAGATAATGATGGTGATGAAGGGATATGAAGGAATACAAGAGAGTGAAAATTAGAAATATGACCTTGCCGGCCACTGCCACCGAACAGACATCGTGCCATCCTTAGTTCTATGGCATCCTTCTGGAAGTGTTGTCTCACAAAAATTGACTTTCCCTGACAGTATAGCTCATGACTCCGAATTGGACATTGGGGGTCTGGGGACGCAATGCAGAACTGAACACTGTGGAAATCCCTTTTCCACATTAATTTTATTTATTTATCGCATTGGTCACCAGTACCACTCATTGTTACGGTTTTTTGGGTATATTGTATATAACTAGTGAGCGAGTCAGAATGACTTATTTCCCTTTATAGTCGACCAATAGAAGGTTGACCAATCAGAAGCCGCACAACACTGTATTCGTCGTGTATAAAGGCGGCCATCTTTGTTTCTCCTATCGGAAGGACCAGAGGAAACTTGTCCGGCGAACATGACAGACGGAAGAACTACGCTCTGCTACGATATCCACTGCGAACCTGCACTACGCTTTCCTACTGTCTCCGAAATATTCATTGCCAACCTCTGGATTCTATACTCGAGGACGACCGTCATGAAAATGTCTAACATAGGTTATGAAGCCCAGATCACGATTTATTTTGACGGGAATGAATCTGGATATGAATTATGTGAGACGAAGTTTTTAGGCTACCTAAAAATGCAATAACTCCATGACATCATCCTTTGTAGTCGACCAATAGTAGGTTGACCAATCAAAAGCCGCTGAACATTGTATCCGTCGTGTATAAAGGCGGCCATCTTTGTTTTCCTAGCGGAAAGACCAGAGGCAACTTGTCCGGCGAACATGACAGACGGAAGAACTACGCTCTGCTACGATATCCACTGCGAACCTGCACTACGCTTTCCTACTGTCTCCGAAATATTCACTGCCAACCTCTGGATTCTATACTCGAGGTGACCGTCATGAAAATGTCTAACCCTCGTCTCAGATTTTTAGGCCATGGTGACATTCAAACCAGAAGAGTGTAACGACTTGCCGGTTCCTTTAGCACTGGATATGTCGAGGTTACCCTGTCCCTGCTCTCAGAGGTTAAAAAGGCAGAACCTACAAGCCAGCAGGTGGTTTTCTTTCGCGGAGACTGGTTGCCAACCAAGGCTACAGAGACCTGATTGTCCTGATCTTTACTAACAGATGGTGACAGAAGAGATGGATTGATACATTTCCCAAGGTTATTAACAAAACAAGTGAATGCAATGAACAAGACTGGTATTCGAACTCGGCTCTCCGATTCCTCAAACCTATCTGTCCCCATAGCTGAAGGAAGAAGAGATGGGTTGATACCTTTCCCAAGGATATTAGCACGTAAGGACTGGAATTCGAACAGGCTTCTCTGTTTGTAGTCATTACTTCACCAAGGCTCTACATGCTTACTCTATGTTTAGTCATTGGCAAAATCACAACTCTGTCGCACTAAGACATTTTTACCTCTGTAAGGAAATTCTTCAGCATAGGACATAAGACATTACATAGTTAAGCAACGTTCAACCAGGTCAGTACCTAGATTGCCGTTCGGTAATATCAGGGCAAACACTCTTTTCGAACATGGCACTGCTCAACGTTCTATATCACATTGAATCACCGGTTCTCGTCCGATCACCGAAGTTAAGCAATGTTAAAGAGGCAAGACCTAGAAGACATTCAAACCAGAAGAGTTCAATGACTTGCCGGTTTCTTTTGCAACGGATATGTCAAGGTTACCCTGTGCCCACTCTCAATCGTTAAAAAGTCAGGATCTACAAGCCAGCAGGTGTTTTTCTTCACGGAGACTGGTTGCCAACCAAGGCTACAGAAACCTGTTTGTCCTGATCTTTACCAAAAACTGGCAGGAGAAGAAAGGTATTCACACCATCCCCAAGAGTATTAACACGTAAGTGAATGTAATGAACTCAACCAGAATTCGAACTCAGCACTCCGATTCCTCGATCCGAACTGTTGTCCATTATTCGACCGTGTCTGGAACATGTTTTTTTTTCTGCATTCATCGGTAGAAACACATGTCTAGAATAATGTTGTCCGAATGATCTTTTTCGTCTGTAATGAACTTCTTCCTCATTCTTGGTTTTCTAGCAGATAACACATTGCATAGCGGTCAAGCACTCTTTTTGAACATGGCACTCCTCAACGTCCCAGTCTGCCCTGCTATTTATCCATAGGTGGGGGAATAAGAGTTGGATTCGTAAATGAATGTAATGAATTTGACAAGAATTCGAACACGTTCTCTGATTCCTCAACCGAGTCTGTTCTGCGATTTAATCATAGCTTGCGGGGAGACTTGGCATCAAGCCAAGACTGGAATTCGAACTCAGTTCTTCGATTCCTCAACCCTGTCTGTCCCGATATCTGCGGGAGGGGAGAAGAAGAGATGAATTGATATTTACTTACCCACGAAAGGTATGAATGCACCTCTCCTCCTCCCAACAATGGGTTAAATAGTAATACTTATATCAGAAAGTCAATATTATATTCCAAAATATCTTCTACCCCCCCCCAAAAAAAAAAAACCCAACATTTTTCGGTTTTATATGACTTCGAGAAGGTTGATAAACCGTAAAAAAATCAATTAAAGAACGTCGTGGTACATGTTGCTTGTTCTTTTCCCGACCCTATTTGTTCTTTGGTTTTGTATCGATTTAAGCAGCAACTAACTCATAATCCCCCCTTTTTCTATTTTTATAAGTATGCAATGCGAGTGTTAAATACTTCGAAACCTACCTTCCTCAATTTCTTCTCAATACTGACACTTTTAATTCCTTATTGTTCGCACTATACTATTTGTAATATCTACGTCCCTTTCAAACCCACAGGCCTACACCGTATTTTGTTATTTTCAGCGTTTGGTGGTTTTTCTGTCACTTCAAGTCTCTTCTCCATTGAAAAGACTGCCAAACATTCATTGCTTTATAGATTAGATATAATAAATCAATCCAGAAAAAAGATTCTTTGAGCTTAATGACATTTTCCCATAGCTTAATATTTTACTCATTTTCTGAAAAGCACGGGGAGATTATCCGACATTCACAGCCAGATAGGAGATAAGATGGGATAAATGTATACAAATTTTTATATATCAAGGACAGTTTGGGAAGAAAGATGTAGAAAAAGTTTTCGTGTGATACAAGAATGAGGTGCTATATACCGAAATCACATTACAAAAAAAAAATCTAAATTTGAAATTCCTCGTCAACGTAAAAATAAACTTGTCTGATGAAGTCGTAACGGCTGAAACGCGTCACACGGAAACTTTTTTCAACTTGTCGTACATCCTCCAGAAAGATTAGATATTTCCTACCTGTCCAGAACAAATTTCCTCGATTTCTTAATACTTAATACTTTTCTCATTTCAAGTCTCTTCTTCATTGAAAAGATTGCCAAAGTTTCATTGCTTTATAGATTAGATATAATAAATCAATCCAGAAAAAAAGATTCTTTGAGCTTAATGACATTTTCCGATAGCTTAATATCTTACTCACTTTCTGAAAAGCAGGGGGATTGTCCAACATCACAGTCACATAGGAGATTAGATAAGATAAGGATATATAATTTTTTATATATCAAGGACAGTTTTGGAAGAAAGACGTAGAAAAAGTTTCCGTGTGATACAAGAACGAGATATCATATACCGAAATCACATTACAAAAAAAGAAAAATCTAAATTTGAAATTCCTGGAGTCTCTCATTCGTGTGCGTGGGTAGTCACATCAACGTAAAAATAAACTTGTCTGATAAAGTCGTAAGGGTTGAAACACGTCACAAGGAAACTTTTTTCAATTTTTCTTACATCCTCCAGAAAGAGATTAGATATTTCCAACCTGTCCAGAATAGATTTTCCTCGATTTCTTAATACTTAATACTTTTCTCATTTCAAGTCTTTTCTCCATTGAAAAGACTGCCAAAGTTTCATTGCTTTATAGATTAGATATTATAAATCAATCCAGAAAAAGGTTTCTTTGAGCTTAATGACATTTTCCGATAGCTTACTCACTTTCTGAAAAGCACGGAGAGATTGTCCAACATCACAGCCAGATATGAGATAAGATAAGGATATATAAATTTTTATATATCAAGGACAGTTTTGGAAGAACGATGTATGGCAAAGTGGAAAAAGTATTCGTGGGTTAAATGAACGAGAGATTATATACCGAAAACATTCCAAAAATATTCTAAATTTCAAAATCCTAGCGTCTCTCGTTCGTGCGCATGTGTAGTCGCATTGACGTAAAAATAAATTTGTCTGATAAATTCGTAAGGGACGAAACGCGTTACACGAAAACTTTTTCCCGCTTTGTCACACATGTTTCTTCCAGGAGATTAGACATTTCCTCGCTGTCCAGAATACTTTTTTCCCCTGATGTCTTAATATTAATATTTGACTTGGTTTCTAAAAAATATCTTTCCTTACATCTCAGCGCCTTCTCATTTCGCATAAAGTTAAATCTCCACATCTGTCTGATTTGATATTTGTCAATAATTGAATCGAAATTATTAAACTAATGTTTTTATGCAAGCTGAACATATATCCGTATCAGATATACGGCCATAAAACGTTGAAACCCCGGTTCTTGTACGATCAGCAAAGTTAAGCAACGACGAGCCCGGTCAGTACCAAGACGGGTAACCGCTTTGGAAGAGCAGGTGCTTTAAGCTTGGTCATGCAAGGCTGGTGTAATCGATAAAGGCTCGGGATAAGAAATCGGAGAGATGAGTTCGAATTCCAGTTGGATTCGTTATATTTTCTTTGGAAACGGGACGAACCCACCATTTATCCCCTCACTATGTGTTAATTAGTAAAACTTGTATTAGTAAAAAAAAAAACATTTTAAAATCTAAAAATATTTTATGGCTAAACGTAGCCTGGAAATAGGTTGATAAGTCGTAAAAAAGCAAATCAAGGAAGGTTTAAGATTTAGATATCCCATAGAATTTCGACGCACCCTGAAAGCTTTAGAGAAATCAAAGATTAATTTTATTCATATTTTCCATTTACTTCCAGATATGCCCTGCATGTGCGTCCCTGTCTTGGAGATGGACGGTGGCATGAGGATGCCCGAGACCATGGCCATTGCCAGGTACTTGGCCAGGGAATACAGTAAGTATCATTTAAGTCTTATTAATATTACATTTTTTTTCTTTCTCTTGAATTTTTGTTTTTCCAACAACGTTTCGACCAATCCATTCAAGGGTCTTCGTCAGTATGAAAAGAAAAAAAAATCGTAAAGTAAAAAATGAGTTTTTTTATTTGATAATTAGTCTGAAATCTAATAACTCTTCTCAGACATGCAATTTAATTAATTTGAAATTTACTCAATTATTTTTTAAATGTAATCGTTAAAAATATGTTAAATTATAGGAAGTGAGAATGTTGCAGATTTTAGAAGACGACGAAACTGCGCTAAATGGTTTAGAGGATTACAACGAAAACAGCAATTCCCACGGCTAGAAAAAGTGTTTTTACACCTAGGTGTGAGATCGTGATAATATGGTTTCCGATTAATTATATAGATGACATGTCCCAGTTGAAAGATAAGTGACGATACAGATGTTTCATTTTCTGTTATCAGACCTGACAGGAAGTTTCTGAATACATCCAGGAAATTTGTATATCAAATACAAATATCCATTATAACAATCTGATGTATTAAAACTATCAGAATTAAAGTCCATTATTTATATATATATATATATATATATATATATATATATATATATAGTGTGTGTGTGTGTGCGTGTGTGTGTGTGTTTGTGTGTGATGCATAAATTGTTGTCTAAATTACACAAAAAAGGAAATAACACTGCCATCTTATTTTAACAGATATATGTATCAAAATTACACAAAAATATCTTGAAATACTAAAGAGTAAATTTATTCAATAAAATCACCATTGGCGTCAACTTCAGCCTCCAGCCGACTTCAGAATCTTCTGTATCTCTTCTGGACGGTCTCCTTGTTTAAGATGGTGAATGCTGTCATAATCCTTGCCTTCAGTTCATCTTTGGTGTTACAAAGAGTTTTGTTGGTCTCTCGCTCAATTGCGCCCCACACATAATAATCAAAGAGTTTGCAGGCTGGGGAGTTAGGTGGCTAGATGTTAAGCGTGTTCTGGTTGCAGAAATTTTATGACAGCCATGACTGGGTTCTTCTGCATGGGGAGCATGGTGCAGACTCCTGTTACCAGACATAGTGTCTTCCAGTTTACCATCTTGACCCAGATTATCACTACCTCCTCAAAGAACTTGATGTAGGCCTCACTGTTGAATCTGTGGCCCTCAACAACAAATTGGGAGGTCTTTTTTCTTATCAGAACGATCAAAGTGAGTTTTTGAGCTGCCATACCTTCGTAATCACCATTAGACTCATCCAACTCTTTTCAAATCTTCTGCACTAACCGCAGATTGACACCCAAACTTTTCCAAATTTCTGGCGGAGTAAACTGCATCATGGCGCTCTTTTTCTTCATCTGACGCTACTATAATGTGCAGTTGACAAAATCAATAACAAACAAAGCGCATGCGCGAAATTAATAATATAAAATGGCGACAATTTATCAGTCGCACTTTTTATTATCTGTGTGTGTGCCTGTATGTGTGTATTTCTTAAGCCAATAGTCTTTTTAATATATCTTATTTACAAAAGCAATTAAAAGCATTTCTGATTAGATAATGCACTAGTCTGACTGTATTTTTTTTAATTTTACGTTTATGTTCGGTAGTCTTTCTGTTAAACAAAAACAAATTTATGATTTAAATTCTCTTTTAGGCTGAAATTTTAATTTCTCGAATTGTCATAAAATTATGTAAACAGGGATAAAAGATTAAAAAAAGTATTTTTACGTTGATTTTCTAAAAAGATATTTTTTAAAAAATTAATTCGTTTGTGATGAATTAAACATCCGACAATTATTTGATTTTTGCAATAATTTCCAAAACAGTGTGTTTTTTACGCAAAAAAAAATATATAGACACGAAAAGTCCCCCTTCTAATCTTTGGCACACCCGCTAACTCAAGTACAATAGGGTTTTTTTTCAAAAATTTCGAACGCGAAAATAATAAAATAAAAATAATAAATAATTATTTATTATTTATAAAAATAATAAATAAATATAATAAATTTAAATAATAAAAAATACTTTGGTCTTTTCTCTTAATAATAACATAAATATTTTGACGATAAAACTTTGGGTCCGTTTTTTCATCATGATATGCTCTTTTATAGAAAACCTAAACAGTAAAAAATAGGCCAGACGGAACAATTACGCTACCTAGTGACATTACTCAAAAAAGAGAAAAATAGTCTTTTTTGAGTAGAATAACTAGATAGACATAGATAGGCAAATGACTGAAACTGAGATGGCAAGTCAGGATTCGATAATTATTTAAATGGGTACAATTGATTATTATTTAAATGACTATGCATTCTTTTTGTCTTGAATACCATAGACATTTATATATCTACGTATGATCTGACGCGTATTTTGTTTAATCTTATTATGTAATTAACTTCACAATATTCTTTTCTCTTCTGAGTTCATTTACATCCTTAAAATCAAAATGTTTATTTTCAAATTTTCTTTTACTAGATTACTACCCCAAAAAACAGTATGGACATGATGAGGTGTGACTACATCGCTGATTGCTTCTATGAAATCATGCACGATTACATGAGGTACTTCCACTGGAAGAACGGACGCTTCAGGGTGAGTCAATTATTTCGAATCTGATCAACATTTCATATCTAAATCTTTAAAAAAACTATCTATTGAAACAGATAAGCAAAGAGTCTATATTAAAAACGATCATTAAGACTAAAAGACATTCCTTTAGACGAATGTCCAGAGCTTTTGTAAATAATGACTGCTTCTATGAAATCATGCACATGAGGTGCTTCCACTAGAAGAACGAATGTTTCAGACTCAATTCAGAGTCAATTATTTCGAATCTGTTCAACATTTCATATCAACATCTTTCAACATACAATCTATAGAAATGAATAAGCAAACAGGCTATAGTAAAATGATCATCAAGACTAAAAGACATTAGCTAAGACGAGTGTCGAGTGCTTTGTAAATAATGACTGTTTCTATGAAATCATACACGATTACATGAGGTACTTTCAGTGGAAGAACGGACGCTTCAGGGTGAGTCAGTTATTTCGTATCTGATCAACATTTCATATCTAAAACTTTTAAAAAACTATCTATTGAAACAGATAAGCAAAGTGTCTATATTAAAATGATCATTGAGAGAAAAAGACATTAGCTAAGACGAGAGTCGAGTGCTTTGTAAATAATGACTGCTTCTATGAAATAATGCACGACTACATGATGTACTTACCACTGGTAAGTACGGAGATTTTAGGATGAGACATTTATTTCAAATCTGTTCAACATTTCATATCTACATCTTTCCACACACTATCTATAGAAATGGATAAGCAAAGAGGCTATAGTAAAATGATCATTGAGACTACAAGACTTTTGCTAACATGAATTTCGATTACTTTGTAAATAATGACTGCTTCTCTGAGATACATGAGGTGCTTCCACTGGAAGAACGGGCGCCTCAGGGTGTGTCAGTTATTTCGAATCTTCTCAAGATTTCAAATCTTCATGTTTGCACACACTATCTATAGAAATGGCTAAGCAAAGAGGCTATAGTAAAATGATCATTACGAGTAAAAGTCATTAGCTAAGACGAGTTATTTGTAAAGTATGACTGCTTCTATGATATCCTACAACATCACATGAGGTTCTTAGTTCCATTTGCAGAATATACGCTTCAGTTTTAGTCAGTTTGTTCGACTGTGCGCAACATTATATATGTACATCTTTGAACATATCTGGAAGAATGCATAGCTATCACACACACACACACACGCACGCGCGAGCGCCAACACACACACACACACACATATATATATATATATATATATAATTATTTATTTTAAATTTATAACATAAATGTGTTATAAAATCACTACAAAAAAAAACATTTTGTTTCAACACCCCGGTGTCTTATCATGATGATGTTTAATACTCTGTATATATATATATATATATATATATATATATATATATATATATATTTTTATATATATATATTCTTTTTTAATTGATAAAGTTTATTTAAGTAGATGGGTTTTTTTAAGTAAAAGTGTATTAATTACACCTAAAGGCCTGAGTATTCGAGAAATTTCGTAGAAAATATGTGTTATGTAACATGAACAGAAACTATACTGTACCGTCACTTGATCTGACGTGCTATACCATTGAGCTCCTAGTAAGCGTCTAGAAGCAAAAGTCCAAATTAATCTTTTTAAACAACAGATCTTCGCCGAGTTTTCCTGAATGACCCTATCTGCTCAAGAGACGTACCTTAACGTAAACAACAACAACAGCGTCTTATGAAAGAGATTCAGTCCGATAATTATTTAATATATTCTCTGTTCATTCTTTATTGTAATTGATACAATATATTTAAGTAAATGATCTGTTTTAATACAACTGTATAATTACATTTACCGGTCTGAAGGTAACCTATTTCATTATATATATATATATATATATATATATATATATATAATATATATATATATATAAATGAAGACTTTCCTTAATTAATGTTTCTTTTCAATTTCTTAGTTCTCTAACAACGGTATGATGTCTTCTGACATGGGAAGCAACAACAGTGGCGATATGATGAATTCTAACTACGACGTAAGTATATTTATTTGTAAATAGTTCTGAATGTGTTTTAATTCCGTTTACAGATTTGGGCCAGTTAAATTTAATAGACAAGATATAAACTTTATTGTTTCAGTGGCGAAAGATATTCCATAGTGCAAAAGAACTACGGTTGCATGTAACGAATTCAACTTTAAATTGATGTGACATTCGCGCCATACTGTGCTTAAAATCACAGAGTCGAGGCGCCAGATAAATGACTGGAGCCAAGGCGCCAGATTAGACTAATAATATTGCTGATTCCTTTATGGTTTTGATGTAGAATCTCCAAATATTTTGAGGAACACCAGACTAGATGTGACAGTAATATTGAAAGCCTAGACTTATGAATATTTAAGATAAATTCTGGTGAGAAATATTATCTAGTACGACCCAGTGAACCAACTTTCTTAGCAGAAGATCAATTATTCGATTAAATATCATCTTTTCACTTAATATCAACTAAGAATGTTAGCCTGGGTCACTCTCCTGGAGGTTAGCCTCATCAATCAGGCTGAAAAGGGTCTCTCAGAAATAATTCGTTGAAGCAGCCATTCCTTGCCCCAGAGAAAAAAATTAAGAAAATCTTATCTTTTATTTTTAAAAAATTCATTAAATATTTTTTGAATTCGTTTTTTTAATACGTTTTGAACGTGAGGCATATTTTTTTAAAAATCAGTTTCACACCATGCAAAACAGAAAATCCACTAAGACACAAAGGGTTTGTTGGTGAGGAAGTATTATAAAACTAAAACTTTACTAAGGACCCAGAACAAAATAAGTGTATTCAAGAGAGTCGATAAAAATTTACATGAATCAATTTTCTTTGTAGCAGACCTAGTAAGAGGTTCACTATAATCTTTACACTTCGGGTCATCCATAATGTTAGCCTGAGAATGCAGAACGAGTTAGTCTCCTGGAGTTTAGCGCCAGCCATGCTGATGGGAGGCAAAATGCTTCTCTCATATGATTAATAGAAAGAGAAATTCCGTTTTGGAAACGTTAACATTAAGATGACATACCTTGCACTAGAGAAAAAAAAAATTTAATTTAGCAAAGAACAAATACCATGAAAGTATTTTTATTTATTTCACCCCAAGCAAGGCAGCAAAGCCACTAAAAGACAAGGAGTTACTGTGTGTGAATGAGTAAGAAAAAGAGAAACATTATTAAAGAGTAAGAACTATGAAGGTAATCAAAGAAGACAATAATTAAATATTGACATTGAATTTAAAATTTTGAAGATCAAAAGTTGGCTGGGGAGTATGAAGCCGGAAGAGGTTCCACAAGCGAGAAGTACGAAAAAAACTCTTAGCCAGTTCAACTGTAAACTGATAAGACCTTGCCGCCAATATTATACTGTGCTTAAATTCATAAAGCCTGTGTGCCATAACTCAATTCACATGTATATATCTATAGAAAAAAAACAGACGGACGCTACGATGGGAAAGTAACTGAAGCCGAGATGCCAGATCAGGGCCAATAATATTGCTGATTCTTTTTGGGGATTTATCAAGAATCACTAAATATAGCACGAGCACCAGACAAAATGTGGTAGCAATATTCAAAACAAGGACGAATGGTAGAATTATAAATATGGAAGATAGATTCTTCTTTGGATTTTGTCAAGAATATCTAAATATATAGCAGGAGCACCAGACCAGATGTAGCAGCAATATTCAAAGCAAGGACGAATGGTTGACTTATAAATAAAAGGTACGGCGATGATTAAGTGACGAAAGCCGAGATGCCATATGAGTACCAGTAACATTGCAGATTCTTCTTCTTTTGGATTTTATCAAGAATTTCTGAATATATAGCAGGAGCATCAGAGCAAATGTGGCAGCAATATTCAAAGCATGGATGAATGGTAGACTTATAGATATGTATGATAATTTCTGGAGGGAAAAATTGTTTAGCACGAAGCAATGAATCAACTTTCATAGCAGCAGACCTAGCAATTAATTCAATATAATCTTTACATTTAATATCGGCCAATAATGTTGGCCGAGAAGGCAGAAGGATTCAATCTCCCGGAGGTAAACAGAACATGGTGATGGGAAACAGAAAGGGTTCTCTCATATGATTCATAAAGAGAAATTCCGTTTTTAGAAACGTTAAAATTAACATTCCTTTCTCCAAATAAAAATTTAATAAAAACGGAATAAATTTCAATAAATATTTCTTTTAATTCGTGGTCTTTTTAGAAGAGATCCCGAACAATTACCATGAAAGTATTTATAGAAAAGACACGCAACCTTAAGGCGGCGGGGAAAGTGACGGAAGCCGAGACGCCAGATTAGGATCAATAATATTGCTTATTCTTTCTTTTATTTTTATTCAGGAGCTCAAGGTAAAATAGAAGGGCACCTGACCATATATGTACCAATATTTCTAGCATGGACGAATGGTAGATTTATAGATATGTAAGATAGATTCTAGAGAGAAAAATGTCTCACACGACACAGTGAACCAACTTTCTTTTTACAGCGGACACAGAAAATTCACTTCATGGCAACTGAGAACGTGAGCGTGAGAAGGAGCAATGAATCACTTCCCTGGAGGTTAACATCAGCCATGTTTAATGAAAGCAAATAAATTATCTCACATATGTAATTGTCAGTGTAAAAAGAAATTTACTAAGGAGAGAGAACAAAGAAGTCTATTCAGGACAGTCGATAGAAATTTACATTGTATTTAAATTTTTGAAGATTGAAGTTAGGTGGAAAGCATAGAGCCGGAAGGGTTCCACAAGCGAGAAATTCAAGAAAAAGAAACTTTAGCGTAGAAGTTGCGGCTATATCTATCTATCTCAACTATAAAATGATGTGATCACGACGCTATTACTGAGCTTCCATTCGTTTAGGTAACATAGAAAGAGCTCATCGGAATAATTACCATGGAAGTAATTGTAAAAAAGAAACCATAAGGGCGCAACCTTACTGCAGTGGTAAAATGACTGAAGACGAGTAACGATAGATCAGGACCAATAATATTGCTGATTCTTTTTACTCAAGGGAAATAGCATGGACGTATGATACATTTATAGATATGTAAGATAGATTCTGGAGAGAAAAATTGTCTCGTACGACACAGTGAACCAACTTTCTTAGCAGCTGACCTAGCAATGGATTTAATATAGTCTTTTCACTTCATGTCAACTGAGAACGTTATCTGAGAAGGCACAATATTATAAGTATGGACGAATGGTAGACTTATAGATATGTAAGATAGATTCTGGAGAGAAAAATTGTCTCGTACGACACAGTGAACCAACTTTCTTAGCAGCTGACCTAGCAATGGATTTAATATAGTCTTTTCACTTCATGTCATCTGACAACGTTAGCCCGAGAAGGCACACTATTCTAAACATGGACGAATGGTAGACTTATAGATATGTAAGATAGATTCTGGAGAAAAAATTGTTCTTGTACGACACAGTGAACCAACTTTCTTAGCAGCTGACCTAGCAATGGATTTAATATAGTCTTTTCACTTCATGTCATCTGACAACGTTAGCCCGAGAAGGCACACTATTCTAAACATGGACGAATGGTAGACTTATAGATATGTAAGATAGATTCTGGAGAAAAAAATTGTCTTGTACGACACAGTGAACCAACTTTCTTAGCAGCTGACCTAGCAATGGATTTAATATAGTCTTTTCACTTGATGTCAGCTGAGAACGTGAGCCCGAAAAGACACAATAAGTCACTTCTCTGGAGGTTACCATCAGATGGGTCTCTCAGATTTGTAATTGTCAGAGTGAAAGAATTTTTTTAAAACACTAGCCATGTAGTCCAAGACTGCATAGACTGTCCGTATTTCAATTAATTCAGTTAAATTCTTTAAATATAATTTTTTATATATTTCTACATGTATTACTCTGGCTGCATGAATTGCATTCATTAAAATATTTAAAGGGATTCATTAATTATTTTTTCAGAACTACATGCAGTGGAGATACATGAACACTTTGAACAGGTTATACCCTTCATGGAGAGGACTCTGAGCATGCGCAATGGTGGAAACAACTTCTTCATGGGAGATCAGGTAGGTACCAGTTTTGAATTCATGTTTGACGAAATATTCACGCCGAGCATTTAGGAAGATATAGAACAGAGAAAATGTTTTAAATTAAAATTAAAATTAAGAAAATTCGTATAGCTTTCCCGAACAAAAATTATTGTTGTTTTTTAATGGCGTTCTTTTCCAGGATATAGGGGTTAGTCACCTCCACAGATTTCCTTTATCTTTATTATCTCAAATTGTCTGACTGCTTGGGAAATTTGATGAGTTGTTTCTCTTGACCTCCACGGTTTTCAACTTATCTTATAATTGTTACCATTCAAGACTAAAGAGTCAATCTACCTTTCTATTTGAAAGGTTACCTATCTATTCATCTATCTATCTATCTATCTATCATTCATCTATTCGTGTGTAGTCGCGTCAACGTAAAAATAAACTTGTCTGATGAAGTCGTAAGGGCTGAAACACGTCACACGGAAACTCTTTTCAATTTGTCTGACATCCTCTAGAAAGAGATTAGATATTTTCTACCTGTCCAGAACAGATTTTCCTCGATTTCTTAATACTTAATACTTAGCTTGGTTTCTAAAAAAAACATTCTTTCCTTGCATCTCTGCGCTTCTCATTTCGCATAAAATTAAATCTCCACATCAGTCTGATTTGATTTTAATGAGATCAATATTTGTCAATAATTAAATAAAAATTATTTCTCTAATGCTGTTTATACAAGCAGAACATATATACATACGGTCATTTCACATTGAAGCGCCGGTTCTCATACGATCACAGAAGTTAAGCAACATCGAGCCTGGTTAGTAGTAAGATGGGTAACCGCTTGGGAATACCAGTTGCTGTAGGCTTGGTCTGGCCGGCTGGGATAAAGGATAACGGCTCGGCGTTAGAAATCGGAACGATGAGTTGGATTCGTTATATTTTCTTTGGAAACAGGACGAACCCACCATTTATCCCCTCACTATGGGTTAATTAGTAAAACTTGTATTAGTAAAAAAAAAACATTTTAAAATCTAAAAATATTTTATGGCTAAAAGTAGCCTGGAAATAGGTTGATAAGTCGTAAAAAAGCAAATCAAGGAAGGCTTAAGATTTAGATATCCCATAGAATTTCGTCATACCCTGAAAGCTTTAGAGAAATCAAAGATTAATTTTATTCATATTTTCCATTTACTTTCAGATATGCCCTGCATGTGCGTCCCTGTCTTGGAAATGGACGGTGGAATGAGGATGCCCGAGACCATGGCCATTGCCAGGTATTTGGCCAGGGAATACAGTAAGTATCATTTAAGTCTTATTAATATTACATTGTTTTTCTTACTCTTGAATTTTGTTTTTCCAACAACGTTTCGACCAATCCATTCAAGGGTCTTCGTCAGTATGAAAAAAAAAAAATCGTAAAAAAAAAAAATGAGTTTTTTTATTTGATAATTAGTCTGAAATCTAATAACTCTTCTCAGACAATTTAATTAATTTGAAATTTATTCAATTATTTTTTTAAATGTAATCTTTAAAAATATGTTACATTATAGGAAGTGAGAATGTTGCAGATTTTAGAAGACGATGAATCTACGCTAAATTGTTTAAAAGGATTAAAACGAAAACAGCAATTCCAAGGGCTAGAAAAAGTGTATTTACACATAGCTTTGAGATCGTGATAATATGGTTTTCGATTAATTATAGATCGTGGAAATAAGGACGATAGGTTTCCGTTATTAAGTTTTATATAGATGACAAATATGTCCCATATATTATATAATATATATATATATATAGATGTTTATATTTTATGTTATAGATAGAGATGACAGATAGATAAGTTTCTGGTAAATATACATCCAAAATATATAAATTTGTATATTTTTAGAATAAAAACAGGAAGAATCCATTAGAACAATGTTCAAGATGATATAATATTAAAACTAATATTTATCATAATTTAATTGGAAAAGTCCATTATTATATATATATATATATATATATATATATATATATATATATATATAGAGAGAGAGAGTGTGTGTGAATGTGCATAAAATGTTGCTAAATTGTGTGTGTTTGTGATATATTTGCAAAATACATAAAATTGTTGAATACTAAAGCGTAAATTATCCAATTCAAAAAACGAAATAACAACTTCTGATCTTGTTTATTTTAACAGATATATGTATCAAAATTACACAAAAATATCTTGAAACTGCATGGGCACTAAAGAATACAAATATCCATTTAACAATTCAATAAAAAATCACCATTAAAGCGTCAACTTCAGCCTCCAGCCGACTTCAGAATCTTCTGTATCTCTTCTGGACGGTCTCCTTGTTTAAGATGGTGAATGATGCCATAATCCTTGCCTTCAGTTCATCTTTGGTGTTACAAAGAGTTTTGTTGGTCTCTCGCTCAATTGCGCCCCACACATAATAATCAAAGAGTTTGCAGGCTGGGGAGTTAGGTGGCTAGATGTTAAGCGTGTTCTGGTTGCAGAAATTTTATGACAGCCATGACTGGGTTCTTCTGCATGGGGAGCATGGTGCAGACTCCTGTTACCAGACATAGTGTCTTCCAGTTGCTACCATCTTGACCCAGATTATCACTACCTCCTCAAAGAACTTGATGTAGGCCTCACTGTTGAATCTGTGGCCCTCAACAACAAATTCGGGAGGTCTTTTCTTATCAGAACGATCAAAGTGAGTTTTTTGAGCTGCCATACCTTCGTAATCACCATTAGACTCATCCAACTCTTTTCAAATCTTCTGCACTAACCGCAGATTGACACCCAAACTTTTTCCAAATTTCTGGCGGAGTAAACTGCATCATGGCGCTCTTTTCTTCATCTGACGCTACTATAATGTGCAGTTGACAAAATCAATAACAAACAAAGCGCATGCGCGAAATTAATAATATAAAATGGCGACAATTTATCAGTCGCACTTTTTTATTATCTGTGTGTGTGCCTGTATGTGTATTTCTTAAGCCAATAGTCTTTTTTAATATATCTTATTTACAAAAGCAATTAAAAGCATTTCTGATTAGATAATGCACTAGTCTTACTGTATTTTTTTTAATTTTACGTTTATTTTCGGTAGTCTTTCTGTTAAACAAAAACAAATTTATGATTTAAATTCCCCGAGGAGTCCTTCTTTTAGGCTGAAATTTTAATTTCTCGAATTGTCATAAAATTATGTAAACAGGGGTAAAAGATTTAAAAAAAAGTATTTTTTTGTTGATTTTCTAAAAAATATTTTTGAAAAAATTAATTCGTTTGTGATGAATTAAACATCCGACAATTATTTGATTTTGCAATAATTTCCAAAACAGTGTGTTTTTTAACGCAGAAAAAAAATAGACACGAAAAGTCCCCTTCTATTCTTTGGCACACCCACTAACTCAAGTACAATAGGATTTTTTTTCAAAATTTCGAACGCGATACAAAAATTAAAAAAATGAAATAAAATAATAAATAATTATTTATTATTTATAAATTATAAATGAATATAATAAATTTAAATAATAAAAAATACTTTGGTCTTTTTCTTAATAATAACATAAATATTTTGACGATAAAACTTTGGGTCCGTTTTTTCATCATGATATGCTCTTTTATAGAAAACCTAAACAGTAAAAATAGGCCAGACGGAACAATTACGCTACCTAGTGACATTACTCAAAAAGAGAAAAAAATAGTCTCTTTTTGAGTAGAATAACTAGACAGACATAGATAGGCAAATGACTGAAGCTGAGATGCCAAGTCAGGATTCGATAATTATTTAAATGAGTACAATTGGATTATTATTTAAATGACTATGAATTCTTTTGTCTTGAATACCATAGACATTTTTATATCTACGTATGATCTGACGCGTATTTTGTTTAATCTTATTATGTAATTAACTTCACAATATTCTTTTCTCTTCTGAGTTCATTTACATCCTTAAAATCAAAATGTTTATTTTCAAATTTTCTTTTGCTAGATTACTACCCCAAAAACAGTATGGACATGATGAGGTGTGACTACATCGCTGATTGCTTCTATGAAATCATGCACGATTACATGAGGTACTTCCACTGGAAGAACGGACGCTTCAGGGTGAGTCAATTATTTCGAATCTGATCAACATTTCATATCTAAATCTTTTAAAAACTATCTATTGAAACAGATAAGCAAAGAGTCTATATTAAAACGATCATTAAGACTAAAAGACATTAGCTAAGACGAATGTCCAGAGCTTTGTAAATAATGACTGCTTCTATGAAATCATGCACGATTACATGAGGTGCTTCCACTAGAAGAACGAATGTTTCAGACTCAATTCAGAGTCAATTATTTCTGAATCTGTTCAACATTTCATATCAACATCTTTCAACATACAATCTATAGAAATGAATAAGCAAAGAGACTATAGTAAAATGATCATTAAGACTAAAAGACATTAGCTAAGACGAATGTCCAGAGCTTTGTAAATAATGACTGTTTCTATGAAATTATGCACGATTACATGAGGTGCTTCCACTGAAAGAACGGACACTTCAGGGTGAGTCAGTTATTTATTTCTGAATCATTTCTTCAAAACTTTTAAAAAATCTATTGAAACAGATCTTTTAAATGACACTATCTATAGAAATGGCTAAACAAAGAGAAATAATAGTAAAATGATTTTAGGATGAGACATTTATTTAAAAGTTCAACATTTCATATTAGCTAAGACGAGTTATTAGTAAAAGATATGACTGACTTTTCTATGATATCCTACAACATCACATGAGGTTCTTAGTTCCATTTGCAGAATATCGAACAAGATTTCAAATCTTCATGTTTGCACACACTATCTATAGAAATGGCTAAGCAAAGAGGTTAGTAAAATGAATTGTGTCATTAGCTAAACATCATATATGTACATCTTTGAACATATCTTAGTTCCAAGAAATGCAGTTTTAGTCAGTTTGTTCGACTGTGCGCAACATTATACACACACACACACACACACACACACACACACACACACACACACACAAACACACAAACACACACACACATATATATAGAATTATTTATTTTAAAATTATAACATAAAAATGTTATAAAATCACTACAAAAATAGCCATTTTGTTTCAACACCTCCGGTGTCTTATCAAGTGATGATGTTGAATACTCTGTATTGAGCACTCTTTTAAGAATAGTAATTGTTGGTTATTGGAATTTATTCCGTATACACCAATCATATACTTGTGTATCTGTTTTTTAATAGATAAAATTTATTTATTAGATGGTCTGTTTTTAAGTAAAGTGTATTAATTACACCTACAGGCCTGAGTATTCGAGAAATTTCGTCGAAAAATATGTGTTATGTAACATGAATAGAAACTATACTGTACCGTCACCTGATCTGACGTGCTATACCATTGAGCTGTAGTGAAGCGTCTGGTTAGCAAAGTCCAAATTAATCTTTTTAAACAACAGATCTTCGCCGAGTTTTCCTGAATGACCCTATCTGCTCAAGAGACGTACCTTAACGTAAACAACAACAACAGCGTCTTATGAAAGAGAATCAGTCCGATAATTATTTAATATATTCTCTGTTCATTCTTTATTGTAATTGATACAATATATTTAAGTAAATGATCTGTTTTTAATACAACTGTATAATTACATTTACCGGTCTGAAGGTAAATTTCATTATATTTATATATATATATATATATATATATATATATATATATATATATAAATGAAGACTTTCCTTAATTAATGTTTTCTTTTCAATTTCTTAGTTCTCTAACAACGGTATGATGTCTTCTGACATGGGAAGCAAACAACAGTGGCGATATGATGAATTCTAACTACGACG